GCGGTTCAATCCCCCAGTACCACATGCCTGCCAGCCCCGCCCCCTGGTGGGCTGAGCTGGCCACACACAAAAAAAAAATAAATAAGTGAATAAATCATTTTAAAGAATAAAAAAAATAAATAAATAAGAGGAAAAGAAAGTTTAAAATAAATAAAAGAAAATGAAAAGAAAGTTTAAGAAACATGGAGCTGTTCAGTAAAAAGAACATGAGATAGGTGTGTGTTTGACACACTCAAGAAGCCTATGGGGAGAAGGGTGGAAAGGAAAGCAGAGAAAGCTAGAGGTGGGGCAAGTCGCATAGAACCCGCCCCATGGCTGTGTACAAGGAGTCACACACCCTGCTCAGCACAGACAAGGGAAGGCTTGGGGTCCGGGATGCAGGGACCAGGCCCCAAATTCAATCTCCAATTCCTAAGGGAAATAAATCATGAAAGGTTAATGTGTTTAGGGTTTTAGGTGGCAGTTGCTTATCAAAATGGGCTCATGCACCTAATAATATTGCCTTAACTTCCCAGTACACCACAGGCATTTTTATAATAAATAAAATAAAAGGTCGGAGAAATGACTCAGTAGAATAAGTACTTCCCTGGCAAGCGCAAGGGCCTGAGTTCAATCCCCAGTTCCGCCAAAAAATAATAATAATAAAATTAAAATAATAAATAAATACAAAATAAAGCAGGGTAGGCAAACTGAATGAGACCTATCTCAAAGTAAATAAATAAATAAATAAATACGAGTTGAAGAGCATTTCTTTCTTTCTTTCTTTTTTTTTTTTTTTTTTTTGGCCAGGGTAGCGCATATTCCACTGAGCCATCTCCCTGGCCCTGTGAAGAGCATTTCAATGCTGAAATAACCATCCTTGTTTTATTTTGTTATGTTTGACACAGAGTCTCGCTGTGCAGTTTAGGCTGGCCTCGAACGCACTTGGGAGAAAGTGGAAAAGGAAAGACAACAGAGTCTCCCCTAGAGCCCCCAGAAGAAATTTAGCCTTCCTGTCACTTTGATTTTACCCCAGGGACCCATTCCAGACTTAGATTTTCGGATCTGTAAAATAATAAATCTTGTTTGGCTGTATGTCAATAAACGGATGAGACACCTACAGTGCCATTGGAGCTGCATACAGACAGTAATCCATGGCCCATAGCATGGCCCCCTTTTCTGCTATCTAATCTGATTTCGTTGGGCCGGGGACTGGTTGCACACACCTGTGATCCCAGCACTCAGGAGGCTGAGGCAGAAAGGTCACTCCGCACAAGTTCGAGGCCAGCCTGATTACACAGAGACTTTAAGGTCAGCCTGAACCACACAGTGAACTACCTTACCTCAACACTCCCCCATTAACCCTATTTCTTTGGAGATTTTCATCCTGCTGGTGACAAACTCAGAAATTTATATCTCTGGTCCTGTATTATACACTTTTCCTACTTAACACTAATCAATTTTTATTCGCACAGGTTCTCAGCACAGTCATTCTGCCTGACACGTGTTTAGATGCTGTTGGCCTAAACTCATGCACTCAGAATGGAAAACCAAGTCCACAGTTAATAATATCTAATTTCCCGTTCATCATTCAGATACAATCAAATATGTAAATAGTTCTGTTGATTCTCACTCTTCCTGACAACACAATCCATCAATATCTTGGGTGAAAACTCAATTATCCCTTAACATGCAGAACACCAGGGAGGCCAACCTCAGTGCCACGTGTCCCTTTACCACCAGAAGTACATCAGGGATTCTCAACTGGGGGAGGGTCTATTCCTCAAAGAACATCTAAGGACGTTTGTTACGGTCACACCTACAGATATGAACGAGCTACTGGTATGTCTTAGATGGAGACAAGGGGTGCTGCTAAATGTCCCCCCATGCACAGGCAGTCTCCCACAACAATAAAAGGTCTGGCCTCAGCAGTGCTGAGGCTGAGAGCCTGCTGTAGGTCATGTCAAGAATCAGATGTTTTAAACAAGGATTTGGGTTGACTCAGCAACATTTAGCCCAATCTCTCAGCAAAGAGCCTCGGAGACTCTTTGGATCATGTAGTTCTCACAGTCTTTCCTTGTGGCAGACAGTTTCCCTTCGTGTGTTCTGGTTCTGGAGCAACCTCTACTACAAGCACTCTACTCCATATAGACACACTTGAGTTGCTGTATGAGATTCTCCAAAAAGACACAATCCAGAGGAGATAGGTAAGAACAGATTTATCAGGGAAACTGGCTCATGCTATTGTGGAGGCTGGGAAATCCTACGATCAGTCAGTCATCTGAAAGCGCAAGAGCCAGGGACACCATAGAAAGGCTGCATCCAAGTCCAAAGGCTTCACAACCAGGAAAGCTGACAATGTATCTCCAAAATGGGGGCCAAAGCCTAAGAACTCAGGGGAGACCACTGCATGTAAGTCCTAGAGTCCAAAGACCACAGAAACAGAATTCTGATGTCCAAAGGCAAGGGAAATGGAAAGATTGTCCCAGCTCCAAGACAAAAGGAAATTCATCTTTTCTCTGACTTTTTGTTCTATCTACACCTTTAATTATATGATGCCTACCCACACTGAGCAAGGACATATCTTCCTTATTCAGGTGACTGATGCACATGTCAAACTCTTGTAGAAACACTGTGAAAGACATACCCAGAAAAATGCCTTACCAGCTATCTCGGTATTCCTTAATCAAGTCAACATGACACCTAAAATTAACCATCAGTTGCCATGTTCTCCTAAAACACACTCATGATAGTTGCTAGAATACTAAATTTTTCAGGTATAATAAAATCATTCATAATCTGGTTTATACCCAGGCTGAATCATGTGATGTTTTGAATATCCCTTTGATTTCCAGCTAATACCTTTTTTTTTTTTTTGCAGAACCGAGGATTGAACTCAGACCCTTGTGCTTGCCAGGGAAGTGCTTATTCCACTGAGCCATCTCCCCAGCCCCAGCTAATACATTTTAAGAGCATGCATTAGATTGAAAACCACAATCACTGTGCGTTCGAGACTGTCTTTAATGATCCAGACAATTACGAATCTGAAGGTAACATTTTTGTTTTTTAGGAAAGGGTCTACAGGGTGTTCAGGGTCTCACTACTAGGTAGGACTCTGATTCTCCTGTATACAGCCTCCTAAGAGCTGGCATTATAGGCACATGCCACCACACCCAGTCTAACACTTTTTTTTTTTTAAAGAAGGTGATTCCTTTCTGTGATAACCTTTCTGTGATATATTCCTGCAGTTACCACTACAATCCTGAAGTGAGCAGTGACAGTGACTTTATCTACCTGTGTCTAAAGAAATGAACTTTGCTGCTGTACATTCAATATTTTTCCTTGAGTTGGTCTTCCACAATATAAAATAAGCTCCCCAGCAAGATTCCACAAAATGTAGATGGTTTGACACCCTCTCAAGGATAATGTTAGAGACTATTTTCTGCTGTCTTGCTATCATTTGTTTTTGATCTTGCTGTGTTAAGAATCTATGGGGAAAAAAAAGAATCTATTGGACTCTGGGAAAAGTGAGAGAGGATGTTAGCTGCATCCTTCTTTTGGGCAAATGGACAAGGAGAGAGGCAGCAACACCTTTCCACTTGCAGTCTCGAGCTAGGTACTACTCCAGCTCCCTCCCTATTAAAGCAATATTCAGCCCCACTAACACGGCATGAGTGTCATATCCTGGTTCACCTCTTGTAAATAATGTATTTTATTTTTATTTTTTTTAAATAATGTATTTTAACAAATATTTAAATACTATTATTTGACAGGTGAAGTCTTATCATGTTGTTGAATTGTTTTTTCATTTCCTGGACTATGTTCTATGAAAATTTAAAGTTTTAAGTCTATCTGTATTTTTCCAGTATTAACACCTTTCCCCAATTATGACAAACAATGATACCAAGAGACTGCCAAATCTCCTCTGGGGGACAAAATCACCCCTTTTCAACCAAAATTTTAAGGGTACTGAAGCTGCACCATTTAAAAAAGAGAATACAGAAATACCTTAAGAGCTGGTATTATCTCAGCGATACCCTTTTCAGTCTTAGCTTGTGTGACATCACACTCTCTTGATCTTTTGTCTACCTAGTTCCCTTTCCTGTACTTAAATTTCAGACTACTGCAGGATACGTTCACCATAGGTCTTCTGCTCTTCACTTACTCTTTAGAGTTATCTAGTTCTGTAGCTTCAAATGGTAACTATTGACAAGTGCACAGTGTGTATTTGTATCTCATAAATACTGTCCAAATCAATGGGGGCAAGAATAGTATTTGGTAGAACAGACTCTCCCTGTGAGGAAGAGCGAGCTCATTGCTGTCAGAGGGCTGCCAGGTCTCACGCAAACTTCTTGGGCAACTTTTTGGTGCCGAGGGCCTTGGCCACACTCCCTTTGTGAGCAACTGCAGCGAGCGCGCGGGAATCCTCCGTACACTCTAACCTACAAATGCCAGCGCTCCAAGCAAGACCCGTGGAAAGAGTGGACGACGAGTAGAAGGGCCGTTAAGGCTGTGAGACCCAGAGGGTCTGAGGCGGCAGGACTGTGAAAATGGCCGAGTCACCAAGAGCCCGGAGCAAAATTCCAGCATTCTAGGAAACGGACGGGCGAACTGGCAGTGCTCGGGAGCACGATCCCCACTGAAAACGGGAAAGTAGCAATAGGTGGAGCAGAGTCGCAGCCTCGTTTTAACGTGCCAATCAGAAATAAGGGTGATCTAGTACGCCAATCTCGAGAACCAATGAAAAACGGAGATTGTTTTAGGCTGCTTCCCAAACTCCAGTCGGAGATCACGCGGGAACAGTTTACTCAAAAAGCGAGCCCACCGCGGAAGTGCGGGATACTGTGTTTACAAAGACGGTGGGGCGGGTTAGAGAAAATTCTGGAAGCAAAGTCGCACTGTATCAACCCCCACGCGCCTAGGACTCACCAGTCATTCTACAACCGGGCGCGCGACGTAGGGGGCACGTAGTGCGTGCTGGCGTCACGCGACGGGCCCCGCCCTCCGGCCGCCCATATAGCGTAGCCCTGGCGCGCGCGCGCACCATTGTGTGGCTGGACTCGGCCGCCGCTGCGGTGTGAGGCGCGAGTTCGGGTTTTTGCCGTCCCCGCACCCGCACCGCGGCTCCCGTGTTGCGGCCCGCCGCTGGAGAACCAGCCTTCGGGACCCTGTTCGCCACGGACATGCCGCGCGTCTATATAGGACGCCTGAGCTACAATGTCCGGGAAAAGGACATTCAGCGCTTTTTCAGCGGTTACGGCCGCCTCCTCGAAGTAGACCTCAAAAATGGGTGAGTCGGGCCTGGTCGCCTGCGTCCGCTCCACAACCCCCGGCACTGGTGACGGAAGGGCTGTTCGGAACAGAAGGCAGAGCCAAGGCCGCGGCGCCGCGTGGCAAGGCCTCCAAAATGGCGGCGACCTGGCGCCGCGGGTGCGAGCGGGGTTGCGGGTGCGCGCACGCACGCGCTGCCGGCTAACGCGCTCCCGCCGCTGTCTGGCCCGCGTACCGCCCCCAGGTACGGCTTCGTGGAGTTCGAGGACTCCCGCGACGCCGACGATGCCGTTTACGAACTGAACGGCAAGGAGCTCTGCGGCGAGCGCGTGATCGTGGAGCACGCCCGGGGTCCACGTCGCGATCGCGACGGCTACAGCTACGGAAGCCGCAGTGAGTCCCACCCCCGCGCGCTCCGCGTCCTTGGGACCTGGGTGGGGGGGGCGCAGGCACTAGGGTGGGCGGGGTGGGGCCTCCCAGCCCGGGCAGGCGGGAGGGGGAGCCGGGAGTTGCTTTACCCGGGTGTCTCCGGGCCCCGCCCGCTACCTTCACGCCTGCCTGGGGATGGCCATGGGACACCGGAGCGCGGGGATTGGGTTTTGTGAGATCGGGAAGGGGTGATTTCTACTGGGCCCTCCTTGGCACTGTCTTGGGTTCTACCCACGTTGGAAGCGAGGGATGGCTGTATTTGTGTCCTCCTTGCTTACCTGTCAGTGCTTTAGCTAGCTAGATACAAGTTTGTGGGTAGGATGGGGTGGAGGAGGGGGAGTGGAGGGAGCGGGAAGGGGAGGAGTTTGAAGGATAGGTCCTAGAATTGCTGAAGTTGGGGCCAGTAATACTATTTTTAAAGTAATGTGGTGTTGTGCCACAAAGTAAATCTAAACCAGCTTTATGCTGTATTTGAACTATTTGGGGCATGTTGTTGGGAGGAGGTTGGGGGGATTTTGGCTATGTTAAATGTTTGATGTTGAAATTGTTGCATGTTGAATTCAAACTTTTTAACAAGTCCTTGATGTTTCAATTTGAAAGTGACCAATGGGGCTGAGGCTGTGTCCACTGAGGCTAAGATGACTGCCTTTCCTGATTGGCCTTGGCTTTTCCATACATTGTGTGACCCTTGCCCTATGACCCTTTGGCTGACCTTACCGGAAGCCATGACGACAGCAGCCTTTTGCCATTAGACGCAGGGTGATGGTGAGGATTCCAAGGGTTAGACAAAACTGGTTAATCTGAACTAGGTGACTGTTACCTTGCGTGTTTTGTGGCCAAACCACCACCAAAAACCTCACACTGTGATGTAAGTACTTAGTGTAACTAGTAAACATTTTTGTAAAATGTAGAAATGCATGTAATCAGTTAAGTTTTATATTTTACAATGTTCTGTAAAATAAAACTTAGCGAGGTAAATCGAATAAAGGAGCAGTCACTCTCTAACAGATTGTAGGAGAGGTTTAGTTGGATTTAGTCTGTTTGACTTGCCCTTAATTTAATTTATGGCAAATCACAAATGTATCAAAGGTTTAGCAGTATAATAGCAAAGTCCTACTCCAGTAAATGAAAGTTGATATGTTTGTACTAACTTTCAAAAACTATGCACCCCTGTCATTACAAAGCATCTGATTGCTCCCTTCATGTGATAAAGGTGGTGGAGGTGGATACAGCAGTCGGAGAACCTCTGGAAGAGACAAATATGGACCACCTGTTCGTACAGAATACAGACTTATTGTAGAAAATCTTTCTAGTCGTTGCAGTTGGCAAGATTTAAAGGTATGTGCTATACTTTGAAACAAAATGTTTCAAAGATAAGACTTTTAACTTTTTATATAAAATAAAAGATAAAAATCTGTTTAGATGTCTGTCTGACCTGACCAGTCTTACTATTTTAGGATTTCATGCGGCAAGCAGGTGAAGTCACCTATGCAGATGCTCACAAAGAACGCACAAATGAGGGTGTAATTGAATTTCGTTCCTACTCTGATATGAAGCGTGCTTTGGATAAACTGGATGGTACCGAAATAAATGGCAGAAATATTAGGCTTATTGAAGATAAACCACGAACAAGCCATAGGCGGTCATATTCTGGAAGCAGATCTAGGTAACTTGAAAGACATGGAGAGGGGAGGAAGAGTGTACTTGAAGGCCGAGAAGATAGCTCAGTGGTCTAAGCACCTGCCTGACAAGTGCAAAGCCCCAGGTTGCTATGCCTGCCCCCACCCCAGGCCTGCTTAGCTGGTCACCAAAATGAGGCATGGTGGTGCCCACCTGTAATCCCAGCATTGGGGAGGCTAAGACAAGATTGCTAGAAGTCTGAGCTGCATAGCTGGACACTGTACCAAACACAAGTTTTTTAAAGTACTTGAGTGGGTTGCAGTTGTTTTACAACTTCATTGTGTGTGATTTATTATAGGTCACGCTCTAGAAGAAGGTCACGGAGTAGGAGTCGCAGGAGCAGCCGCAGTAGATCTCGAAGTGTCTCGAAAAGTCGCTCCCGGTAAATGATGTGGTATTGGGACTTGCTTGTGGAGTTTATATATATGGTGACAAGATACTGAAGTCTGGCTTTTTTGTCCAGATCCAGGTCACGGAGCAAAGGTCGATCACGTTCTCGATCGAAAGGCAGGAAATCTAGATCAAAGAGCAAATCTAAGCCCAAGTCTGATCGGGGCTCCCATTCACACTCTCGAAGCAGATCTAAGGATGAGTATGAGAAATCCCGA